GCAAGCAATATGGCAAGCGATATGGCAAGCAATATGGCAAGCGATACAGCAAGCAATACAGCAAGCAATACGGCAAGCAATATGGCAAGCAATACGGCAAGCGATAAGGCACTCCTCCAAGGAAGCAGAGCAGGAACTTGACCAATTACTTGAGACTAGCAATTGTTCAGGATCTTTTGCAACACAAAAGAAGCAACTCTGTGGAAACATACAGTGTCTCACCAAGGCCAACTACAAGGGTTTGGGGCCAGTACAAGGAAACTTTGAATCCTGTTAAGCCCTGCTGGCAATGTTTTTGGCAGGAAATGTGGCAACTATGGTTGCAAACCTAGATCTTTGTCAGAGCTGGAGCTACTGTGGAATATTCCCCACAAAGGCAGAGGCAATCTGCAACATCTTTCAGCTGCAATGGGCATACCAAAGACTTCTTTAATACATCTGGTCAAGTGTGGTAAAATTAAGAAGCACAACAGAAGTGCTAAACCTCTACTAACACCTGCAAATAAGCTCAAGCAAATTGAATGGATATTGAGCCACCTTGATGAGAATGGAGATTTGATGACTGGTTCTGTTGGATACATGTTGATGAGAAATGGTTCTATTTCAAGAGGACAACGCAAACTTCATATTTTCTTGCTGATGAAGATGAACCCAAGTCTACGTCCAAGTCAAAGAACCATATGACAATGTAATGTTCCTTTGTGCTACAACAAGGCCTAGATTTGATTTGTGCAGAAATGCCTTGTTTGATGGCAAGCTTGGTATATTGTTTGTTGTTAAAAAGCCAGCATAAAGAAGCTCTGTCAACTGCCCAAAAGGAACACTAGTGACAAAACCACAGAATGTGAACAGTGATGTGTACAAGCAAATGTTGATTGAGAAAGTGCTGCCAGCAATTTACAATAAGTGGCCTAAGGGGGCTGACAGTGGTCCCCCTCCTGAAATTATTATCCAAGAAGACAATGCCAAACCCCACAAGGCAAGTGTTAGGGTTGCGGTTGCAGCAGCAGCAGTAAGGGAGGGTTGGAATATTTCTTTTATTCTTAAATTCTTCTATTCAAAGTTTGTAGTACAAGAAGCATTCAAAAGATATTGATCACTTGATTGCCAATGCTGAGAGTGTTTATGATGTGTGCAAATGGGAGACTCTGAATAATGTGTTCTTATCCCTTCAAGCATGTATGGAAACTTCTCTTGGTGTGACAATAACTACAGGCTTCCTCACATGGGATAGGCAAATCTGATGCATCAAGGTACCAGTATGCTTCCTGATTCAATTATTTGCAATCCTAGTCACATTGCAGAAGGGAGGCAAATGCTTAATGCTGCTGCAGAAGCTCAGGCTGCAACAGCAAATAGTAGTAATGAAGAGCAGTCATAATGATGTTGATGTTAGCAAGTATTTGTACTACATTAGTTAAAATAAGACCAGCTAATAGTGGTAAACAAGTTTCTGGTACTAAATATACATAATCCTACATAGGCCCAATGGCAATGACACTCTTTGGAGACCAGCACAATAGGGTCACAACATGCAACAACACTCATAGTGGACCGGAGGAAGTAGGAAACCGTCAAAACAAATATTTCTACTTTGAATCAAAGTTGTCAACAACTTGCAGCCAAAGTTGCCAACTAATCTACGTAKGCATGCAGATTTTGGTCAAAATTGCTTGGTTTTTATCACACAATGAAAATCCTACTGGGACTAACACTACTGTGCTCAATCAAAAAACTTCCCTTCAGCATGATCCTCAGCAAACTGTTCTGTCATTGTTCTAAATAAACTCCTCAGTTCAAAGCAACTGGCCATGGGAATTGCTCTATTTCAAGCATTTCCACTCACTCTTAGACCCTCTGTATGGTTGGAAATGTACAATAGTCATTACAAGGTAAAAAGATAGCCCAAAATTGAGGCACAGTAGAAAAACAAATAGAATGTTAACTAAGGGTCAATTCAATTGAACAGCTATGATATCTTGGTCCCAACAGACGCTTAGGTATGGTAGGCACATGAATCAAAAGGGAATTTAAACACAAATATAGTCATGTGGGGGGTTATAGGAGGTTATTGATTATTGAAACCTATTCAGGGCTGTATATCTAAGTGTATAGTGTGCAATTGGTGCGTCCAGAAATGTGTGGCCAGCACTATATGATAAACTTATTTAGCTGTTTTTTTTAGATTGGCTGCATGTTAGAAAGTAGGTCAGAACTTTATTTTAAATACTCTAGTAGACCACCAGAYTAAGTGCCCAGGGAACAACATTGGGTGCCAAAAATCCTCCTCAGGGTGCCAGCAACTCCAGGTTATCAGATCAATGACTACCTTTTGACTAAAATGACAATTTGTAGTTTGCATGTACCATGTACTACTATTACATCACAGCACAGTAGGAATAAAGACACTAAAGGGGTGCATGGAGGAGCATTGTTATTCTCATTATATATACTATTTGTTATCTACAGTACTACTAGTAGTACTGTTCATTGACTTACATTTCTACGATATACAATCAACTATCAAGTAGTAGTAGACAGAAAGCTAGTACTCGAAAAGGGATATTTCTGCATGTAGAAATAACAGGTACAGTACTACTAATTACATGTGTTCAAAGGCAAAAAGAAGTAAAAAAAGCAACCAGGAATCTACTAGTAGAAAGCAACCACAGATTGACTTTAAAGTGGATACTATGAAGTAGATAAAAATAGTCCATTCATTGTAGTGCTGGTTTTAGATGGGCCACACTACATGAGGGCAAAACCCCATCACTGGTACTAGTTGTAGTACCTGATTCCATACTGTCTCTGGCTAGTAGTAAAACTAAGAATAAGACAATCAACGTAGTCATTGATCTGGTGACCAGGTCACTGGAACCACAAGTTTTCACTGCATGCATGGTCCTAGTTCAAGTTCATATAATTACTTTGCTACAGATTAGTGCCATTGGAATTCAAAGGACSTTCTACTAGTAGCAGCTTAGAACTAGTCTGCTGAAGTTATACTACTAGTACTAGTAGTGGAGTATCTACTAGTAGCTTCATGAAATAAGAGAGGGACTATGATGGCCAGGGCCATGAATCCATGGAAAAGTATGCTCCTTGTTTCTACAAGGGGCAGTACCTCCTCCCTCCAATGGGGTGTGACCATTAGAACACTAGGTGGGCTGAAGGGTGTAGTATTAAAGAATCATGTCAAAGTGGTTTGGAGTAGGTGAGAAGGAACAGTGGGAGTTTTATTTGAGAAACCACTTGTACATACTAGCAATATTTCCTGCTTTAGAATCTTGTTTCTTATACAATGTGATGATCATGATAGTGTGGATTATAAATTTGGCAGCACCTAAAGTTCCAAGAACAACAAAAAATGGTTAGCATTGATTCAGGTAACAGGAAGGGCAAAATAGGTATATGTATTGATACCACACATCTAAATTCTGGTTTCTTGTCTTGCATAAGCCTTTCTGTTCATCAGAAAGGTTCAGATTCATGTCAGATTCCATCAATATTCCAATTTGTTATCTCCATCATGGATACTGTTGTATCAGGATGGAATTCAATAAACACATGACATTTGAATGGGGAAATTCCTGTCACATCACCAAAGGAACCATATCACTCTTCCAAATACCCATAATAGTTATGATGCACAATGAGTGTTAAAATACCTGTTTAGAATTGTCWAGAGCTTGGCAGTTGACAGTATTGCACTCATCTTCATAATTCTATTTTGGATCATTTAACCTGCTCTCCTGCAAAACAACTGCCCCTGAAAAATTGAATGGCAGGATAACTGAGCAACTGCTGGTCTGCTGCTGATATGGTGTTTGTTGTATTTTATCTTATGCTGTTTTTGTAGTGCTGAATGGGATGTAATAAGCGGAGTACTACTAGCACTACTTTATTTTACAAGTAGGTATCATGGAAGAATTTTTTTAGATTTAATGTGTCAACATTTGGCAAAATGCGAGAGGAAAAAATGAATGAACTCTTTCGTGCTCAATAACAATGATGTAACCTGGTCTCTCTCAGCTAGCTGGCAGCTTCTCGTGGTTAAAGAGAACCAGAGAAGTTGATCTGTAAAACTAGCGTCATTCAGATGGTACACAAACTATGTCCTCGCGAGAAATAAGTGAACTCTGCAGACTTAAAAAATCTACAGAGAATCCCTAACTTTGGCTGTGTTAGTGACTTCCAGCCTAGCTTTGGCCAAGTCAATAACTTCCTCGATATTGCTGTGGGCTCCAGTACTTTCATCATAGTGAGCAAAAACAGTTTGATCACCTTCGAAGACAAAAGTTCCGCCCTGGTTTAACGCTTGGTCCTGTCTAGGCGGGAGATACACAGCTGTGGTCCAATTGTATTAAAGAGAAAGACAGTGTCAGTTCGTTTCAGGCCCGTGAAGATGGTGAACACCGAGAGAAAAGACTACCTCCGTCTAAAACAAATATGTACAATTCTACGGACCTGCACTCCATTTCTTCAACACCTCGCTTAGTTCTTTGGTACCGTCCCGTTCCGTGAATCGTCTCAAAAAACTGAAAGGAGTACCCGGAGAAAAAAATGTTTCCTTCAAGCCCTTATTAAGCTCGAGCGAGTTGTACAATGCATTCTCCGGGTCTACATAGAGATTATTTGACATTTCTGGAACTGACAAATGATCAACCAATTTTTTTCCATTCTCTGGTGTGCCAATTGAGACCATGACAAGCTCCACGCCCACTTCTTTCAATTCATTCATCTGCTTGCTCCATTGAAGAATGAATTCTTGGCATAGGGGTCATCCGAGCGAACGCAAGAAAACAACGATGGATACAGATCTCTTTTCAAGCAAGTCGTCTATTTTTAGTTTTTCCGAATCGAGGCTCAATATGTATCCGTTTCGAATGGCTTCGCGTGCATTTATACCTTTTGCAAGCTTTGACGGTTTCCCGCTAAAAGTTGTTGTAGCGCAGGCGCAATCAACATCTTCTAAGGTCGACGACGACAATCCTTTCCTCACGGGAAAAGACAACGGCAACAATGTTGACATTATTCCATTCCTTGGACCTCGACAGAGTCCGCTTTCAGATCCATGACATTCCCTAAGAGAAAATGCAAGAGTAACCTTCAAAGATGCGCTGGATGCAAACAATAACAGAAAAGGAATCAGTAACCTCATCTTAGGCTATTGTCATTGAGGTAGTTGTATCTTGACGCCTCACGATTTCGATTTTTATGCGAGGAGGATTGTTTCCTTCTGCAGCATCGTTGTGATAATGGCGGTAGTAACAAGGCACAGCGAATGGTAAACTTCTTCCTAACACGTACGAACATACTCGTAGGTGCTCGTATGCACCGGTACCGGTGCAGTAGTACCCCTATTCCCGTATGATTTTACCATGAAGAGGACGCAAACAACACCCGACGCGACCTTAGTGCTGTACGGTACCGTTTCGTACCGRTATGTGGGACTAATAGTAAGTACGATACCAAAAAAGCTGAGTCATACTTTTTTGCCGAGGTCAGCCATCAGACGTGTCTTCTGTTGTTTCGTTACTGTAATCGGTAATAGCATGCGTTAATCGTAGAATCCTACCACGCCCTACAGGGCAAAAAGGCATTCTACTCAAGGCACAAAAATTATTACTAGTAGTAGTAGTAGTAGTAGTAGTAGTAGTAGTAGTAGTAGTAGTAGTAGTAGTAGTAG